GAGTAGAGTGAGTAGAACTCACCCAAATGCATGAAATCACAAGGGGGAAAGTGGCGATTCACATGGGAGTGAAGAATAGGACAAAACAAGCACTAATCATCATCAAATCACGAGGATGAACCAGAATCAAATTTGCAATTTGCATCCAAGTAGAGAAATTGAGAGAAGGTGATAGTAGAGTGAGTATAACTCACCCAAATACAAGAAATCTTAAGGGGAAAAATGGCGATTCACATGAGAGTGAAGAATAGGACAAAACAAGCACTAATCATCATCAAATCACTAGGATGAGCAAGAATCAAAGTTTCGATTTGCATCCAAGTAGAGAAATTGAGAAATGGAGAGTAGAGAGAGTAGAACTCTTCTAAATGCAAGAAATCTCAAGGGGGAAAGTGACGATTTACATGGTGGTGAAGGGAATGCCTATTGAGAGATTATTACTAGCGGAAAGGTTTCCTACCATCTATCCTTATGCTTAGGAGAGCTCCCATGGAGAGAGGAAGGAAAGAAGAGAGTGGGGAAGAGGAGGAGGAGAGAGAGAGAGAGATGAAGATGTAGATGGAGAGAAAGATGAAGAAAAAAAGAAGAAGAAGAAGAAGAAGAAGATGAAGCAGAAGGAGGAGGAGGAGGAGGAGGAGGAGGAGGGGAAGAAAAAAAAAAAAAAAAAAAAAAAAAAAAAAAAAAAAAAAAAAAAAAAAAAAAAAAAAAAGGAGAAGGAGAGGAACCCCTCCTCTCGACTCACCTCCTTGGTGTCTTGGGATGAAGTACCAATCTTGATGAAGTCTCCTCTTTCCTTCTTCAAGCACCCCCTTGGCTATGACTCTTTTCTTCTTCAAACCCTTCTCTCCCTCCTTCTCTCACCTTTTCCCATGCTACAATCGGCTCCTACCTCTATGGCTGTGGAGTCCTCCCCTCTAGGAGGGTTAATGAGACTCCTTCTAGCCTTGCCTTCTTCCTCACAGCCCGGGGGCTATGGCAGATCACCTTCCCCACTACCACAAGCCTCTAGAGCTCTACACACAAGGTCACAGTCCCTTCTAGACTTCCAAACTGGCAGGGGTTCCCTTCTCTTCACTCCATGTGAGTGTAGTGGGCTCATCTCGGCAGCATGGGCACTCCTCATGCAAATGGGACTGTGGCGACTGATTCCCCAACTTATATAGGCTGGGGACAGTTCCTTGGC